AATCGAGAAATAGCTTTATATATAACTTTTAGCGCAATTTAATTCAGCATTTTTAAAGAATGCTAATAAACACTTTTGGACACCTCTGATAAGCATTGGTTTAAATTGAAAAAAATACTTTTCGTTTTGTTTATTCAATAAATTAGTCAATTGAGAGACACTATAGTTAATAGAAAACTGGTATATCATATAAAAGATAAAAATTTCATAAACAAAAATAATTTGATGATTACTTGGATTTAATTATTGATATCAATCCCATTGATAACAGTATTGTTTAAATTATTCAATACTTTTCTAATGTATTGAAAGGCAATATAGAAGAGCACAAAATTGAATGACTATTATATTAGTCTATTAGCTATTTATGTATATCGCGTGACAGCGGATAATAAGATAGTTTTTTAGGATTTTCACATTATATCTCGATTTCAACATCATTTTAGCATTGGTTTAGAAAATACATATATTTTTAGTTTTGATTCCTCGACGAGCCGTGAGATTTGTTTGAAAGTTTTGTGTTTAATTAATCAAAAAAAAAGTATAAAAATAATATTTATGTTCAAAGGAAGAGCAGTTAATTATTAGAGAAAAGAAAACCATAACTCTTTTTGTGTCAAATATATTGTCAAAAAACAAATTCATCAATAAATTTGATGTAAAAATAACGATAAAATTGTAAAATTATGATAAAATCTTCCGACAATTCTGAGAACCTCTGTAAACATTAACTGAAAATAAAATTAATAATAAATAAGTATTTCATATAAATATATTGTATTTTATATTTTAAATACACTTTTGTTAATATTGTTAATACATTATTAAAGATATTATACAATAAGCAAATATACTCCAGTTATAAAATGTAAATAATTACTTTAATCATTTCATAATAACAAAATATCTGCTGTATATAAATAAATATTATTTGGTTTAAATGCATTAGATGCTAAAACTTTTATAATATGAATAAAAGTTTGGTTCTAAACGAAATTTAATAAAAATCAATATTAAAAACATTATCAAAATAAACGTTTATATACAATATTTTATAATATTTTGTCAACTATTGATATAATTTTGATATTATTTACAGATTAATAAATAACTTACAGTGAACTTTCTATATAGTGACTCTCCATATAGTGGATTTTCCATATAGTGCCCGAAAAAAAATTAATTGGCGGCCACTGTATACCTGTAATGTTATTTACGCTCCATATAGTGACTCTCCATA